TTCAAGCATTGTTTTTGAAAATAATTACTAGTTATTTAGCTTTTAATAGAAATTGTAATCAATTTTCTACTATTTATCCCAATATTCTGTAATTCATATCATAACTAATCTAATAATAAAATGGTTTTTTGTCAGTTTGACTCTAATTAAGCGTTCATTCATTTGGTGTCTATTTTATATGGGATTGACTTATTTGCATTTTTGGCATTTCAAAGCGAGAGAGCTAGTTATAAATTTAATTATTATTAAATATTAATTTTTTATTAATTTTTTTACAAAGTATTTAATGTAGTTTATAGTTAAATCAGTTAATAATTTAATAATTATAATTGTAACCACATATAAACGGCTCTCTCTCCCTGTCAGGACCACAAAATTGGGAGAGAGAGCCGTTTATATGTGGTTACAATTATAATTATTAAATTATTAACTGATTTAACTATAAACTACATTAAATACTTTGTAAAAAATTAATAAAAAATTAATATTTAATAATAATTAAATTTATAACTAGCTCTCTCGCTTTGAAATTCCAAAAATGCATATAAGTCAATCCCATTTTATATTTGTTTCATTGTTTATTTATTTATGGAATATTCCTATGTTAGGCATTTCATTAATAATACCGAGGACAATTAATTATTTATGCAAACATTGGGCTCCTATTTGAAATTCACTTCGCAAATGGATTTCTTTTTTCGCATAAAAACATATTTATATTACTTTTTATAGAAAACGGCACAAATTTATTGATTATTAGTGTTTCAGATAATATTTAAAAATATTGTAATTTACAGTTGAATATAACGAAAATGCTTACATTGCGTGTATTCGCTGCTCACAACTTCTTTATTTCTTATATTGCTTTTATATACAGTTATTATTATTGCAATTATTTAGATTAGAGAATAGAAAGTCATATACAGGTATTAAGTCATATATATATGCTTTTCGTATTCTTGCAAACACTTCAAGAATATTAATATACTGTAAGACTGTATCATATATCTGTATTTATTGAACACAAACTCCTGTATTAATACACAATAAAAACTTTAGTTGCTTATTGTGTAATTGGTTCAATTTGTGAACAATACATTTTTCAGTGAACTTGAAATTAGGGTATATATGAACGCCATCCACAAAACTGGAGACTTCTGAGTGAGTAATCATTATCTGACCGCAAGAATTACTATTTAACTTAATTTTCACATTTGGTTTATAACTTGTTTTGTTTTGTTTTTGTGTTTGTGTTGAAAATTATTATATTTTTGATAAGCTTTCACAGAATTTTTATTTTTCATAGCAATACTATAATTTATAATAAATTTTATTTTCTGGTGCAACTGTAAGTTATAGGTTTATTGTTCAATTGTTTGACTTAATTATACCAGGGAACTATTGTTTATGATGAATATAAAAGTTCGACATAATATTAATTTAAGTTTATTTTAAATTTTTGTAAATATTATTTAATAACCCAGTATTGCATTTGGAATTATGGTATTATTTTTAAGAATTTATTAAATATAGTTAAACTTTATTTTGTTGCTTTTATTAAAGTAAATTAAAGTATGTTTTATTTTTAAAATTTTTATTAACTTATTTTTTATCAATTAGACAATAATGAATACTATCATCATTATCAATAGGTCCTAATTAATTGCGAGCTATTATTAACAATTGTCATTCACTTACTTATTACATAAAATTCACTGACAAATCAATAATTCACAAGCAGTCTAACAGTTAGACTCTAACACATTAGTTATTATAGCTTTTACATGGTTATTATTCACAATACAAAGTACTGCTATTCAGTATAATATAGTAGTTTTCAAAACTGATGACTCAAATTGTGAATTTGTTTTATATGAAAGTCTTAATCAATTGATTCTTATATTCCTAAAAGAGATCGAAAGTCACACGTCAGGCGAAGGGTTAAAAGTTTTTCTGCCGGCGCTTTTCGATCCAATTCTGTACATCCCGTAGGCGACAGTGAATTTGAAACACCAGAAACTGATTCAAAGCCCGAGACACCACCCGAACCCAGTCCTCAACCCAACACCGACACCGACTCCAAATCGGAACCGTTTTTCTTCACCCAAACCTCTGGCGAACCAAACTTTGTCTTAAAAATGGGAAATAAAAGCAATAAAGTGTCCGAAGAAGGCCATCGCAATAAAGAGGATAAGAGTCTGTACTTATCCAGTGATAAAGTGCTGGATATTATCGGATATTTTAACTATTCCTCAATTATTTCTCACGGAATGGACGACTATTTACACGTGAGTTTGAATTTTATCCGGAGAGGTTTATGCCGGAGAATAGGGACCAATTGGTTCCATACACTTACCTACCATTTGGTTTGGGGCCCAGAAATTGTGTGGGAATGAGGTTCTCGTTAATGGAGGTCAAGACAGCGGTCGCCCATTTGGTCAATAAATTTATTTTCGTCAAAACGCCGGCAACGAAACCATTGACTAATGATATGATGAAAAAATTGCATTTAATTGTAAATTACGGTGATTTGAAAGTGGGCATTGAGCTAAGGACCCCGTTAAAATAATGTAATTTAATTAATTTAATGAAACAATGTTATGGGGTATAGTTACTTACAGTATTCATATCTACTTACTGTAAGAAAACCTAATTTATAATTAAATGCCAAATATAAGTAAACTGTATTTACTGTGAGCTAGTGTGTGTCTAATCAATGATTAACAAACATAATTGCTTAATGTCTTCATTAACTTAAATAAATTATTACTTTTGTGTTAAATAAAATATTTCCTTTAAATATCGCACTGTTTAGAGATATTATTCCTGTTATTTTACAACAGATTTAAAACTTAATAATAAAATTTTTAAAATTTTTAAAATAATTAAACACCCTAGTCTATCACTTATTCTTAATAAGCTATGGACTAGTCTAGTTTTACAGTGAAAATTAAAACAACCAAATAAACATTTTCATGAAATTAAAGAAAATATAAAACTCATTTGAAAACAATGGGTTTGTCATTGAGTTATGTCTGGAATTAATGACTATAAATGAATCACATCTGTAAGGATCGTAAACACCATTAACTCAAAACAATAATAAAAGCGATGAAATGCTGGTATAAAAGCAGAAATTCTTGTAAACCATTGCAGATTCATAATTGAAGGTCACAATGTACCCATTGGACTTAAACATGAATACTTTACAAATCTATTACTATACACAGAATAGTAACTTTCCTATTATGTGTACTGTATATGAAATGTATATTATGAATAGCAACGTCTATATCACTATTGGGTTTATCGCGGCCCCAAAGTACTGAACGGGGATAACAAACCTGATTAGAGGGAAGTCGCATAGAATCCAATGGAAATGTTGATTATATAGAAACCAAATATAAATAAGCGTCAAATTCAATCCTCGTTCATAAAGAGACTGACAATTCACTCGTCAATATCTACTGACAAGTTTTTAACCAAGAAGTTTTGTTTTGAAAAGTTTTTAATTTAGTTTAAACTTAACAATGTTTGGATTAAGTTATACCATATTAGCTGTTACTGTATCAGCACTGATCGCTATTTATGTGTAAGTATATTATTCTTACGTTTTGTTTTAATTATGTTATTAATTCTTAAATTTTAATTTATTTATTTAGTTATTTGGTCCGCAATTATAATTACTGGACATCTCGTGGAATAAAAGGTCCCAAACCTGTGGTCCTATTCGGCAATATTTTGGATCTTTTTTTCAAATCATTCCAAGAAATAGAAGAGGAAAGACTCAAGAAATATGGACTTATCTATGGGTTAGCTATCATTTCTATGTAGTCTTTCATGTTTCAAGAATTTATAATTCAGTTCTCAATAATGATTTATTAATGATGTTATATTTGGATGACAGCACATTCATGGGACGAGAGCCTGCACTGACAGTAGCCGATCCAGAATTGGTGAAAGATATTATGATTAAAGACTTCAATGTCTTTATTAATCGACGAGATATGGGATCTATGGATGAAATACTGGATCACGCGTTGACTGTTGTTAAAGACGATGACTGGAAGAGACTTCGATCTATTGTAAGCCTTTTAAGCATAATAACATAATTAAAAAGTAATTATAATTGTGTTAAGAGCACCAAATCCACAGCGGCTGTAAGTGTTGGCCTTTTTAGTCCTTTTACTTACTTAACCAGCTTGTAACGCACTTTTCACACCTGTTTTAGCTGGAAAAGGCGGCCAAAGATGAGAAGGAGATTGAAATGAAGGAATTGATGGGAAACTATACGATGGATGACTAGCGGTCGACGCGGAAGCGGTGCTTCTGCCTGTGTGTATTGCTGGGTTTGTTAGGCAAACACTGCTTGCGGTTTTTCGACAAATTAGTCTCATAAACCTCCAGATATGACAAATACTATTCGTCGCGATTCATGAAATTCTTCAACATCTCCATAATTGAACCGACAGTTTACGACTTCTTCAAGAAAGCGGTCAGTAGTTGTCGAATAGACTTTAAAATCTATTTAAAATCATAATAATTAACAAATGCTATCAAATCTATGAATAGATCGCGGAAATTATGAAACAGAGAAAAGAGGATAAGAGTGGAAAACATCACGACTTTCTGCAGCTTATGATTAATGCACAGAAAAAAGTGGTCGACGTGGAGGAGACGGACGACAAATTAATGGATCGGCTCCGTGTGGTACCGTACCTACTGTTGTCGTTTGATTACTGTTTGTGTAGGTTTGACCTTGACTGTCTGTAGCTGTATAACCGGTGCTCAAAACAGAAGAAAAACCGGCCAATACTCTGTTGCCCTAACCTGTTGTCTCATTTGTGCTATTTGTTGGCAATTAATCCGGATTCACAACAAAAACTATTGGATGAGGTGTTGGCAAAGAGTGATTCCAAGGGAGACATTGATTACGAGACGATAATCCGATTGCCATATCTGGACGCCTGTATCAGCGAAACACTCCGTCTGTATAACCCGGCGCCACAGACCAGTCGTGTGGCCGCAAAGGACTACCAATTAGGTAATGGTTTGCACTCTTCATCGTGTCCTCAAATATTTAGAATTTTTGATTTATTTTTAGGCGATACCGGAATAACTGTAAAAAAGGGCATTCATATCATGATCCCGATTCACGCCATTCATCACAACCCCGACTATTATCCGGATCCTCATAGTTTCAAACCCGAGAGATTTTTGCCGGAAAACCGCGATAAACTGGTCCCCTATACATACCTGCCATTCGGCGCCGGACCCCGAAATTGTGTGGGAATGAGATTCGCCTTAATGGAGGCCAAGACAGTGATGGCTCGGGTTATCACCAAATATGAGTTCATCCGCACGAAGACCACTAAAGTGCCGCTTCAGATGAAAAAGGGAAAGATTTTTATGACTCCCACAGACATCACTATTGGAGTAAAACATAGACATTAGACTCATTCGTTGCTATCATCTGATTATTTGACTCCTATTAATGAGGACTCAAATTTTTGTCAAACATTAATTCATTTCAAACATACAATGTTTTAGTTTGTAGTTTTCATTATATTTATATATTGTATTATCTATGATTAAATATGCAATTATTAATAGATTCATTTTTATCTAATAATTCAAAATAATTTGAAATTTGTTCCTACAATTTAATGTTTTCATTGGATCATGTGTATATATTAACATTTTATAATTTATTTGATTGTAATGCATTTGTGTAGTAATGACACTATTAATAAAAAAGTATAACTTATAAATTAAATGACTTACTTAAAATAACTATTTAAAAGTCTGACATTTATTTGTGATGCATTTTATAATTAATGATTTTTCAAATAATATAAAATAAAGTACTGTATAATAAGAAAATACCCGGAACTGCATAAAATATTTTGATGATAATACTTAAAAATAAATATACTTTACAAGTGAATAAATTGTCATCACGCAAAAAATAATTAAATCAACAATTTATGACAAATAAACTTTGAGTACATTTATTGTCAATCCATACACAACTATACAAAATAAAAAATTAATACTTTCAATAATATTAATATAACCTCATATGATAGCTACTTAACACAGAAAACAATACCGTAATCATTTACTTTACTGTTATTCACCAATGAATTATGAATTAAAAAAGTACTTGTTTAGAATTTGATATGAAAATATAGTATGACTTTTGGGAAATGATGGCAAATGTGTTATAAGGTGTAGTTGTGGTGATCTGATGGGTGAGTACTTTCCGTGAATCCAACCAAACTTATGGCCGATAGGGTTGTGTTGAAGACCACGTCCGTGAGCTGCGAGAGAGCGTACTGTATGTTGTCGTCTTCGCGGCCAACTTCGGCATACGAGCGCACGAAGTCCACGATCAGCAGGAAGTTCTGTCCCAAAGCCGCCACAATCTGCTCATAACATATCATTAGTTATAAACAACATTTAAAATAGTATTTTGTTGACTATCATTGAAAATAAGTATATATTTAAGACAACAAACACTGGCGTATGTGGTGTATGTGATCTCAAATAAGTCCAAACAATAGAAACCAATTGTAGGGCCCGATAGGCGCTGGATAAACATTCGCAACTGAATGCCACACAAATGCAAACATGTATTCATTGAAAGATTAAATCTGAGTTAAGAATAAAAATACCTGAATCTGCAACTCAACAGGGTATTTATCGAATGTCACTCGAATTAGTCTCTGGTAGGGCGCGTGTGCCTGTAGTTCACAACAAGATCTTATTTAATTAAATATTGATTTCTTATTTTTAGTTGAATAGTGCACGTAATATGAACATGTTACATAATTTTAGGTGTTTTAAAATGGAATATCGTTTTATGTTATCAATCTACATAATTTAAAATCTACTTTAACTTTATTTCAATTAAACAAGTACGGTATGCACTTTAAGATGACTGTTAGTGCAAACAAGTGTATCGAGCAATCTAATTGACTAAAATTAGAATATTATTAATTAACCATTATTTGAACTATTTTTAGTATAGCTTATCTGTAAAATCAATTAACAATATAAAATAAAACTAAATGTTAATATTATACATGTATCTTTGTAATCCTAAATATAATTAATTTGTCAATATAACATCCAATACTTAGCAGTTTTTAATTCAAATAAATATTATATATATAAATAAAATATGAATTAAATCTGAGAGTAACTTGTGTTGAATTTGTGAGGAATTAAGTGAAGACATACCGTATTGGACAGTAGGGATGCACTGACAGAGAGAGTGGTGAGAAAGTAAGCGCATTCACAGGCGATCGCAAACATGAGGATCCGGACTAAGACGGGGTTTGTGGTGAAGAGGGCCTGGAATAGAGTGAAGCACATCTCGGCCACTAAGAAGAAGTACGTACTCATCAGCCATTTCGCCCAAAACCGGTTGTATTCAAATATCTTGAGACACAACTCGTTGTGTTCGACCAGAACGTGGTGGAGAAGGTCTGTCCGCTCGTTGGACTTCATACGACCCGATCCGGCAATGATGGTCTCGATGTCCTCATTCACCTGATGGTGGCCATAAATGAGTCAAACAATGGTTTACGTGGTGTTATGTCATACAGACCTTGGCGTAGCGTATTCTGAAGTAATAGCACAGGGAGTTGAAGTAGACGTAACCGACATACATGAGATTGGAGCTCAAGAACATCCAGAGCACCGTCAGACTCGACCAAAACACTTGCATTATGTTAAACAACTGAGTGCTGGTCTTCCAGCGCACGGTGCAGACCCACACCACGAAGCCGATGGTGAGGGCCGACCGCACGACCATCACTAGCATGTATTTGCGCCACTTGTCGATCGTGTAGTGGTGCCACTGCTCCGCCAGTTTGGTGTTCAGTCCAAACATCTTTGTGATCGATTGGCCTGAGTTTAGGGGTTTATCGCACTTATCAGACAATTAAGATCTTAAGATGTCTTCAGCGTCTCAAACCTCTGAGCACTTGAAAGGGCGCCAACCAGGAGAAGGCCTTCCATTTGGTGGCGTTCTCGTAGACGATGAGCACTAAAGCGATATATATGGACCAAATGGTGCAAACCATTATCAACTGGCGCTCCGGCCTCAGCCTCTCCTTCTCGCCCAACAGAGTCCTTATCTCGAGGTCTTCAATGAATGCAAGAGTAATATTCCGTATGAAGAATATCCACGAAAAATAGGTGAGCACCGAGTCGTAAGATAGGGTCGACTTTCGCTCTAATTTGCCCCGAACTATGCCCTACATTATGATCAGGGTCATGAATATTCTCATTATAGTTCAAAATCAATTATCATGCTCATTTAAGATAAGAAATGCTGTATAAACTGTTGCAAAATTATTGATTTATAGAGTGCAGACATTCAAATGACATTTGAAATACACATTATAGAGTTTTATGTATTAAAAAAAATTATAAATGTTGTAAAATGTTTTTTAAAAATAAATTACTTCACAATTACAGTAACAAAATCCAAACACCGATAAATATTTTTAATACAAATTCAAACTCACGTGTAAATAGTCGTCCATTCCGTGAGAAATAATTGAGGAATAGTTAAAATATCCGATAATATCCAGCACTTTATCACTGGATAAGTACAGACTCTTATCCTCTTTATTGCGATCGCCTTCTTCGGACACTTTATTGCTTTTATTTCCCATTTTTAAGACAAAGTTTGGTTCGCCAGAGGTTTCGGTGAAGAAAAACGGTTCCGATTTGGAGTCGGTGTCGGTGTTGGGTTCAGGACTGGGTTTGGGTGGTGTCTCGGGCTTTGAATCAGTTTCTGGTGTTTCAAATTCACTGACGCCTACGGGATGTACAGAATTGGACCGAAAAGCACCGGCAGAAAAACTTTTAACCCTTCGCCTGATGTGTGACTTTCGATCTCTTTTAGGAATATAACAATCAATTGATTAAGACTTTCATATAAAACAAATTCATAATTTGAGTCATCAGTTTTGAAAACTACTATATTATACTGAATAGCAGTACTTTGTATTGTGAATAATAACGATGTAAAAGCTATAATAACTGATGTGTTTGAGTCTAACTGTTAGACTACTTGTGAATTATTGATTTGTCAGTGAATTTTATGTAATAAGTAAGTGAATGACAATTGTTAATAATAGCTAATTAATAATAGGACCTATTGATAATTATGATAGTATTCATTAGTATTTATTTGTAGTATTCTAATTGATAAAAAATAAGTTAATAAAAATTTAAAAAAATAAAACATACTTTAATTTACTTTAATAAAAGTAACAAAATAAAGTTTAACTATATTTAATAAATTCTTAAAAATAATACCCTAATTCCAAATGCAATACTGGGTTATTAAATAATATTTACAAAAATTTAAAATAAACTTAAATTGATATTATGTCGAACTCTTATATTGAACGTAAACAATAGTTCCCTGGTATAATTAAGTCAAACAATTGAGCAATAAACCTATAACATACAGTTGGACCAGAAAATAAAATCTATTATAAATGATAGTATTTGCTATGAAAAATAAAAATTCTGCGAAAGCTTATAAAAAATATAATCATTTTCAACACAAACACAAAAACAAAACAAAATAAATGAAATGTCAAAATTAAGTTAAATAGTAATTCTTGCGGTCAGATAATGATTACTCACTCAGAAGTCTCCAGTTTTGTGGATGGCGTTCATATATACCCTAATTTCAAGTTCACTGAAAAATATATTGTTCACAAATTGAACAAATTACACAATAAGCAAATAAAGTTTTATTGTGTATTAATACAGGAGTTTGTGTTCAATAAATACAGATATATGATACAGTATTACAGTATATACAGTATATTAATATTCTTGAAGTGTTTGCAAGAATACAAAAACCATATATATTTGACTTAATACCTGTATATGACTTTCTATTCTCTAATCTAAATAATTGCAATAATAATAACTGTATATAAAAGCAATATAAGAAATAAATTCGTTGTGAGCAGCGAATACACGCAATGTAAGCATTTTCGTTATATTCAACTGTAAATTAGAATATTTTTAAATATTATCTGAAACACTAATAATCAATAAATTTGTGCCGTTTTCTATCAAAAGTAATATAAATATGTTTTTATGCGAAAAAAGAAATCCATTTGCGAAGTGAATTTCAAATAGGAGCCCAATGTTTGAATAAATAATTAATTTGTCCTCGGTATTATTAATGAAATGCTAACATAGGAATATTCCATAAATAAATAAACAATGAAACAAATATCAAATAGACACCAAATGAATGAATGCTTAATTAGAGTCAAACTGACAACAAACCATTTTATTATTAGATTAGTTATGATATGAATTACAGAATATTGGGATAAATAGTAGAAAATTGATTACAATTTCTATTAAAAGCTAAATAACTAGTAATTATTTTCAAAAACAATGCTTGAATATTTAAATTCTAAATATACTGTAATATACGGTAACAGAATTGAAAACAACAGATAATAGTAAAGTCCAAAAGTTTTCATAATAAACACAATTAAACGGCAATTTTGAGCGCATTCTCCAGAAAGCCGTTCGCATCGGGAATATCGCTGAGAAGGTCAGACACGTCACAGAACTCGGCAAACGATTGGCAGGGAATGAGGTCCTCGTCATAGAAATGCAACAATTTGTGTCCGCACTCCAGGAGCGACTGATCATTGTTTCGTATATACTCTGCCAGTGCTAACGGCCAGTCCAGACCCCACTCATCGCCGCCCTTCACATTCTGTATAATAAACATTGCATTAAAGTCGTGACAAATGACAACAAGTACTGCAAACAAACCTTAAACATCGTGTTATACATAGAGTTAATGAACGCAAAGAATATAAGCGCTGTTTTGTAAGCACTGAAGTCCTGCACAGAAGGATCGGTCAGTGTATTGGTTCCGTGGGGTGACAGGTGTCGGGTGTGAGCGCACAGTAACAGTCTTTGCAGAAATTTCAGGCGATTCTTGTGCCAAACTTTGGGCGCAAATATCACTAAAGACATTGTACACCAATAATACGGACTCTCAGCCTATAATTAAAGCAATAAAATATTAATACAAATCGTTTGCATAAAAATATTCAATAGATAGTAATAAAGATTAATTGAAAATATCAATAAAACAATTCGTGTTAAATCAAACAAATCAATTAAAAGTTATTTTTAAACTCATATTAAAAATCAATAATAAAATTAGCGATAAAAATGCGATCACAACACAAATGAGTAAAATAGTGTCAATTACTTCATAACAATTTTCTATCCATTTATTGGTTTGCATTTCGAGAAAACTGTTGATCTTCTTGGCCTCTCTCACAGCAGATCGGGTCGTATTGATCACATACAGCGCCATATGAATCATATACGGAATCATATGTAGGTTAGACTGGGGTCCGCCTCCGCCCGAGTCGTCGCTAAACGACTTTTCAGAAGCAAATCTTTGGATTAAGAGCTTTAGGTCGTGTATAGTGGACAGGTATGAAGTGGACGACACTTCCCGATGACCCGTGCATTCCTGCAAATAGTTGTTATGTCGGGCCAGTGCTGAGGCAAACGCCGACTCCTGGACCTGTGGGCCCCACAGTGGCAATAAGCCGTTGCACCGGGTGTTGGCATTCTGAAGGGCCGCTGACTCCCACTCATCACGACCTCTGGCGTGACGTACGGCCGCCATATGGCAGTCCACGTGAACCACATTGAAATGCGTGACAGTTGTGTATCCTATAAGTAAATCAATAGTTATTCATATTCTGTGAGCTATTTCTGTATATAAAACACTATTTATAAGACAAATCTGGAGACAAACCCAAAGTCTTAAACACTATTAATAACACAAATCTGGAGACAAACCCAAAGTCTTAAACACTATTTATAAGACAAATCTGGAGACAAACCCAAAGTCTTTCGCTGTTTGAGCTCAAAGTCCTCTAAATTGCATCGTTTAGTGTATGTATAGATTCCGAGCACTTTGTTTGCTTGGAATTTGTATCCCTCGCGACATATACTACATATGAGTCCACTCTCTTCGCCCAAATCCTCCACTTGTTTCAGAAGCGACGCCTTAGCGGTCACCTGTCCCTTGTCATTGGTCCGCATCCCCAGTGCACCCAATTGTCTCTCCCGGACAGCCATCGCCAACCGTTTCTTCTCATCCCTAGTCTTGAGGCGAACCTCTTCTATCTTCGCTTCGACGGACGGGTGCTCTTTGATGGCTTCCATCAGATTCTCGGCCAATGAGCCCACGTGTGCGTCGGACGACACCTGTTCTAAGCCGTGGATTATCGGTATACTGTCTTTGGACACCAAGAGTTGTGTGTTTTCGTGGCCGTGACTTAACCCTGAATACGAGAAATCAATTTCAACGATAAATCATTTCAAACATTGAAGCTACCGGTGCTTCAATGCAAACATCAATGCAAATACCGGTCAATATTCGGAGAACGTATTTGAGAGCAGGTCTTGACGTGAATTCTTTCCATTCTTCCGAAGTGGCCAAAAGCGATGACTTCATAGTCGGCGCGTGGAGTACGAGGTATTCGAGAGCGGAGGCAACGATTCCGTCCTCTATTATCACTTCCTTAAGTCGAGCGCCGTTTGCGTTGCGTTCGATGCCCGAAGACATCATACAAAACAGTTCCAACTGGTGGTCGGTGTCCACCGTGTGTTCGAAATCGAATTTCTCGAATATCAGGTAAGGCTTGAAGTGCGCCAATAGGGTGGACATCTTATCGGCATTTCCCAGCGTTAGGAACGGTATTAAACGAGTCAATTGTGTCGTTATGGAGACATTGCCTGAAATAATAGCAAATCATTTGAGAATAAGACGTGAAATACAAAACAAAACCCAACTATACCTCTGATGTGAGGAGAGGACGCGGATTCGGCCAACAGTTTGATGTTATCACTGGTGCCACACGTGGTCTCGCAGAACAGATCAAACTCCTGTGCACTGAGTTGCGAGGCCTCCACTAAAATGGTTTCCATGATATGCATCAACTGTTCCAAAGAGGAGGGAAATCCCGGCGCCGAGGGCTGTGATATGAGTTCTGTCGCGTCGGATGTTATGATCAGTTTCAACAGATTCAGCATAACTCCAATGGTGTTGAGCGAGGGGTCGATCAGCGCCTGTCGATTGTTCTTAACACGAATGCAGTGACCGAACAATTTGAGCAAAACCTGCATTAATAGACGACTTCGAGGCGAGAGATCTTCGATCACTTTGAGCCTCTGGAGCATCACTTGGAGGCCATCGCACTGCGACATAATGTTCGCCATTTTGTACAGTTCCTCGTCATTCACTTCTTTATTATCTTTAGTGTCGAGCGTTTCGATGAATTCTTCGGTCGCGTCGCCCATAAGGCCGCGAATTCGGTAAACAATTTTCATGGCGTCTGAATCGATATTATTGTCGTTTTGCCAGATCTTACGGTAAACCTCTTTGACAGAGAGATCCAAACTAATGATCTTATTATTGACCAAAAGCTCGAGTCCGGAGTCGTCTTCGAGGAGCGCCACTAACTCGCAGTCCTGACAGATCTTATTCTTGATGTCTCGCATTAGTGGACCCATTCCCGTGTCGTTAGAACTGTAAGGGTTTCCTAACATTCGGCCCTATTTTATAAAAGGCATTAGTTTTTATGGCATCGACGAGGAGAGGGGACACTTAGTCGAGTGACTGAACATACCTGTAGGAAGTCGTCCTGTTGGGGATCCTTCTCCAGAGTGATGAAGAACTCGATGGAGTCGTTCTCTTCGGGATATATTATAGAGCAAAGCCTTTCGAATATAAACACCGGAGTAATCATGTCATGCAATTGGCATTTGTTGACCGCATCCACACAGACAGACATAAAGGCAGCCGTTTCCGACTCGGTTCCAGATGTCATCTCTTCGAGCAATTCCAACAGTGATTCCTGTGTTTCATCGATCACTTTAGTCCTCTGAACGACAAGTTTTCTCAGCGCTAAGTATCCGTTCAGAACGAAGGCAACCATTCGTGACTTGTATTGACGCCGAATAGTGGACACGTCTATCAGTGACTGCAATAACTCGACCAACATTTTCAGAGCACAGCCCTGCGAGAGGTCTGAGTTGAGTGTCATCTCTTCCAATTGGTTCAGATTATCGATCTCTTTGGTGATGAGAAGACCCAAATGCTGGAGCAGTCCGTGAAGAGCTAAGTAGTACTTCCAGTGCTCTGTTTGGATGATTGTGTGATAGAAAGTGAAGAACTCGTTGGCGAACTCTCCGGCCCGACCCAAGTCATCCAGATATGAGGTCAACAAATCAATTATCTCTCGTTTGCGCGAAGGAATTTGGAAGAGAGCCTCGATTAGGGAACAGGCCATCAGTCGCACCGAACGCGACGCACCGTTGAATAGTATGGCCCGAAGCCAACTCGCCCTCACCAGACCGGCCACCAGTTTGTCACTCTTCAGCGCCTTCTCTTTCCAACGCATTCCATACTTTTCGGACAAATACTGCATTCGGATCTCAGTTCGAGATTTCGGTTCGTTTGGAATATCATTGGAGAGCTGAGGCGTCGGCGACCTCTTCGCGGACCTCTGTTTCCAACTTCTGAACGAATGCCTCTGATCTCCGGCCAACCATTTATTCAAATCGACATTCACTTGAAACCCGTTGGTCTTGACAGTAGCCAACTGTTCAATTGTTTTGTCTTTGTTTTTCTTACTGATCGTCGGCTCGGGTTTTATAAGCGATTGAAGTAACCGAAGACATGGAAGTGTTATGGAGTCGAGTACTGCCGGCGAATCGATTTGCAGACCCATTAGGAATAATTGCATAACACACCTGAGTCGGAGTTCCCAACACGAGTCCTCCTTTTCCATAGAACAGGCGAGTAATGCGATCTCATGTCTCACCGATGAGGACAAGTCAATGGAGGCGCCGGATCTCGACTTCAACGCCACGGATATCTTATCCATAAGCAGATTGTTTAGGTCTGCCGTCGCCCTATAGTTGTCGCGACTCAATGAACACAACAGTTGCCGCACTTCGTGGCGAACATTCATTGAACCGATTCTGAGGTTGTAATCAACTAATTCCCGGAGCAGTCCGTATGAGCACAGGAGTGACCGGTATTTGGGAGCGATAGCCAGTGCCTAACAATTTACACAACGTTTTAGTTTTCAATAATTTTCATCAGTATTATCCTAATCAGTATTACCTTCAAGAGAGTGATGCAGTGCTCGACTGTGGCCGACGCGCACCCGAAGCAACGGCCCGATGACGAGGCCATCGATGTGGTCAACACTTTGGAGTCGCGTCTGGACGCGAGTCTTGGCGTAACGTTAGAGGGCGTCGCCGTCTTGTCCTTCTGTTTGTTGTCGTAATCGACTAACTCTTTACGAGAGGCCAACACTTTTTGAATGATTTTCGACAACTCGTCGAACGAGGACTTGCAGTCCTGACAGTACTTGAGGGCCACCTGTTGTATGGATCGATTCACATGAAGGCTAGAGGCGCCGGCGGGTCCAGCACCGGCATTTGGCGCCAACATAAGCATAGCGTCGGTGTCGTACTTATCCATCATTCCGTGCTCTTGGATGCGCAACAGCAGCAGCTCTAACGACGGCTTGTTTGCGATTAAGCTCTTGTAGACCCGATCGGCCTTTTCTAACAACGAGTTAATGCTCTGAACCGTCTTTTTACGGTCCTCTTCGTTCTCAATGGGGTCCACAGCACAGGTAGGTTTGGCGGTCAGAGTGTAGTCAAACTTTGCGTATTTGCAGAATCCGCACGAATTGCAGAGGAAGGGATCCTTCTCATCGTAATTAATAGCTCGGCATTTGTGACACTGAAACACATTTTCGCCACAATTAGTACAGACGCCGGGATTTGCGGGAACAGTAGCCGAACATCGCGGGCACTGAAGTGTTTCGCTCGACGCCTGGATGTTCTCATAAAACTCCGAGTATTCGATCATTAGATTACAGGCCACTATCGGCAACGGAAACTCAATCTTCAACTCCGTCTGTCCGGCCGACAACTGATAACGTCTAGCGCGATGCCAAAGGGCTGTCTTGTTCTTAAGCTCCACCACTGAATGCACGGCTCGGTTGTTGTAAAAGATGTTTAGAGTCTTAACCTAAATATCAACGAAGAAGTGAATCAATAAAAAAAAATTACTTAAATTCTTATGAATGCAAACCATTTTGGATCGTTTGATGTCCGAAATTCTGAGCGTAATCTTGGATATGGTGTGCGAACCGATAAGTTTCACGATATGTGTGGTTGTAGTGAATCTCGAGTCCACTTTGATTGACGACAATTTCATATTCAGATAATTCACTTCAGGATTATTGCAGACCAGACACGGCTCGCTCTCCAGATAATAGCCGTCAAACTCGACCAATGATTGCAGAGAATTATAGAGATTACTGTTTGGGTGACGGAATAGGTGTTGGTTTTGTTGTCGCAAAACAGTCAGCGCTTTCTCGGAGAACTCGCGCTCTTTTTCGTCGGTATAATTAATTTTGAGCGTAAAGTAACCCAAAAGGTCGACAAACTGTGCGGCCTTTTTGCCATATGAGGGCAGTTTAGGCCATAGGGCCCATAGAATGTCCAAAAGGGTCTCCTGTTGGTGAGCGGAGAAGCTTTTGTACATATTATAGATGAGAGAGTGTGCGGCCCATCGGTGGGAACTGGAGTTGGATTCCAGTAGAAAGCATTGAATGAATTGAGACAATAGATTGTTGTCCACATATTTGAGCATTTGCTGCACTAAATGAGTGCTTATGGGCTCATCTATGTCATCATCGGGACGACTACTGCTTGTGGCTATAAATTTACAACAAAATATATAGAAAACTCAATCTCAAGGAAATGTGTGATATTTAATGGCATACCCGAGGACGAGGTGGACGACTTGGCACAGAGAGCGCACTGAAGTAAGTGTAGGACAATAGAGGAGACCCCTTCGTCCAATAGAAAGCTCACTTGAATGAGAAACGGTAATAAAGTCGAGTCCTTTTGGCATAGCTTTTGCCAATTGATGGTACGGTTTGTGGCGATCTCTGAGCACGCCTTCAGGTGCTCTATCAGTGATATGAGCGCGTCGTACGAGAGGTTAATCAATCCGTTTTGATGCGAGTGCTCAACGAAGCCTCCATTTCGGCACAATTTCTTGATTTCTCCCATATGTGACTCCAAAGCGTGTAAATCACGAATTTGTCGATACCTTTCCTTCGAGCCACAGATGTATGACAATAGTTTGCGCACTTGTTTCCGGATATACGGCGTCAGATTAATCATCATATACTGGCACAGGTAGTCCGTCCAACACGGGGCGAACTGTGCGGTGGTCGGGCTGTTGGGCAAAGCGTTGGCAATCTTCTTGATTTGATACGGCATTCGAAGTATCATTTCTGTCACGAGTTGTGGATACGACTCGAAGACATCGTCGGCGTGTCCTCTCACGTATTGGCGCAAAAAGAACGGAGACATCTCTGGCGGTGGTGTCAATAGGTGTGACTTCAGTGGTGTAGTGCTTGTGGTGCCCACTGGAACCGATGCTCCGGAATCATCGCTTGAGTAAGTTTTCCAATAGGAAAGCAATTGAATAAGAATTTGAAGACAAAAGTCGAGGATATTTGACTGCATTAGTGTCGTCGCCGTAACTGTCGAGCAGAAGGCCGAAGACGTCTCCAACAGGTCTGACGCAGAAGAGGGCACTTTGGATGAGCTCCCGGAGCGCACGCGAGACATCAGAATACTTAGCAAACGCATTATAATGAGCTTCACTTCGTTTGTCGGATTTCGTTGAATCATAACAGAAATGTCATCAGAATTCTGTGATAATTGTGCCAAAAGTGTGGTCAGCAATGAGTTGAGAACGGTTTTGTCCGCATCGCCTTCACCGTCCAGATCTGATGTAAGCATTAATATCACCTAAAAATCACAAAAACATAAGAATTTTACTATTTATTTGAAACAATAGGGAATCCAATGACCAATACCTGCATGAATGGTATGGATCGCAGGCCTCCGACGTCACGTATTTCAGGCAAAGAGACAATCATTCTCTCGAGTAAAGCGATTCTCAAGTTATGTAGTCTTTGGTTATTAGTGATGTCGGGCTCGAGAGTGGACTCGAAGCTGATCATAGGCTGCACTCTGACGGGCGGTGGACCTAACTCTTCGCCGTAAGCAGAACTACGGCCGCTTACGTTCTGTTCGCCTATAATAGACTCGACAACACTTCCTCCGGACTCACTTCCCGCTTCGTTTCCTTGAAGTATTTCATTGGCGGGCGATGTCCTCAGAGTCGAGCCATCGGTGGCAGCAGTGGATCCCTCGTCATCACTGGCGGCCGCCGATGCCGTCGTGTCTGAATAGTGTCCGCGATCTTCCAAACTGGCCGACCGTTGCGTTCCAGACCTGCGAACGGCAACATTGGGTGCGACCGGTGGCGGAACGTCTTGTTGCTGGTCCTGAAGGCTGAGTGCGATGGCCAGCTCTACCATCGCGTCGTCGTCCGGATCGACATCAGGATTGAACATATGGGGAAAGCCTGCGTTGGCGCCAATCAGTAATTCCTGTGGATTATCGTTATCGTTGGGCACATCCAATGCTTCAATCACTTCAAAGTGTTGGTCGACCGGTTCATTGCGTTCAATGGGGTTGTCGTGAACAAACACCTCGAGACTGCCCTGCGCTGAGATGGGACCCAACGGGCGGTCGGACTGCGACGATGACGAGCCGCCCTTATGGTGCTCGTGAGGTGTCTCGCAATGGGGTGGGGATGGGATATAAACGCGACGTTTTCGGGTTCGCGGCCGAAGCACTCGTATAAGCGATTGTTTGGCGCAAAAGCTAATTGTCGTCTCTTCGCTGAGAAGTAACTTTAAATACAGTTTACAAACCATTTGAATGTTGTTCTCGGAGTCGGCCAAAGCGAATGAGTGAATTATCTCAACCAACGCCTGCACCGTCTCCTCGATGTGTATCAAACCTCCCTTAGCTATGGTTGATATGAGAGCATTCTTCGGACGCATTGAATACAGTTTCCAAAACACATCACTTATGTATTGACAGAACGATATTCTCGATGACATCGCATCGGCTCTGTTGGCCATGTCTTCGTAATTGTCTGAATAGTCTGAGCGCGAGGTATCCATCGATGACGACGATCTGAACTGATTTTCGTGACCAAATGTTGTCATCTCAATACTGTTGCCGCCGACAGCTTCGCTGTTATCATCAATAGTCAGCGATTCGTTGTATTTAATCAAATTCTGCGGCCTTTCGACTGCTATTTGTTTAATCATCGAAATCCATCTGAAGAACGATTCGCCGTCGAGCTCATCGTTTTTCACGGAATTATCAATACTTTTGATGACATAATTGACAATCGCTTGGTCTCTATGGCTGTTAAAGGCGGCCCGACTCGAGTGAAGAGTCGCCAAAAGAGATTTGACATTAGATTCGACGCAATCATTATAGGGAAGCGTCAGGAACTGTGTGGCGATCTCTAAAGCATTTTCTCTTTGCATTTGTCTGTCCTTAGGATCTGAGGGAATGGTCGACAAATGAAAGCAGCCGTCGAGCACATCCAGCGAACAGGTGAGCAATCGGTCCAACGATGACAAGTGTTGCGCCGATTGTTGCGAATCAAACTCAACCACAGATATAGAAGTGGTGGGCTGTGAGGCTGACGCGGCCGCCGCTCCCATTTGCTGGTACTCCTCGTTGTCTTCGGGCCAAACAAACGCCTCTTTGGTTTTTCCGTAAACTTTGATTGAGTCGACAATTGTTATACCGTTGGGATCGCCGCTCGCAGTGAATGTTATCGTCATCTTCTTGTCCGCTGTCAACGATTCCTCGCGAGTGAACGGTATGTCATACCATCGGTTTCGAGTGACGGCCACCGGAATAGATCGGCCGAAGATGTCGATAGAAGTGGGCGCTCGGGCCACGTCCTGATAGGCGAGCATCACCCGTACGCCGACCATCACGTTTGTCGCGTCGTTATTGTAGATTTCAATTGAGAAGCCGTTGGGTTTGGTGGACGCGATGTACATCCCGGTGCTGTTGAGACGGTTCTTAACCTGATGCGTGTTATAGATCTGAAGCACATCCTGTCCGCCGAACTCGACATCAGTTATAGTGTTGCAGTGCTCGAAGAAATCGACCGCAAATTGCGGCGAACAACCCGTCGATGAATTATTTCTCAACACTTTTGACGACTTCTTCGATCGGCGGGCTTTGGTGGCCACGGATGGCAGAGATTTGACAGAATGTAGAGTAGGTCTCAGCCAATAGTTGGTCGCTTCCTGACTGGCCATATATATGCGTAGAGAGCCGTCTTCGCACAGAAGTATTAAAGTGGTTCTCATGTCTCCGTTTTGTGTCGAGTGTCTCATGGCTACCATATCTGTGATCTTTGATTTACCGTTCAATTTGATCTCTTGTATGACAATACTATTGGGTTTAACCATCAAAATGATAGGATTGTTGGAATTGAGAGACGTGGCCAGTATTAGGCCCGGATGTCCGCTCACTTCAGTCCACTGACACAACGACTGCATCGAAGAGGACGACGACTTACTCGACGAGCCATTAGAGGACGCGCTTCCGTTAGACGTGGATATGATTTCGATAGGAAACAGATTAGTGACCTCTTGGGTGACAGATGGCAGAGGAGCGCAATAGTTCTTTCCCTGACTGTAGCTGAAGAATAGCAACTGAAATGTATGCGAATAGTAGATAGAAATGCCGCCGCCGTTGATATTGCCGTTGGAATCGATAATCTCGTCGTGTCTGATGTCCAGAATGGAGGTGACGTAGAACTGGCCGTTTTGGGCGCTGCTCTCCTCAGACATCACTTGACAATAGATATGTCCGGCGGAGGAGATGATGAGCACGTGTCGCTGTCCGTCTTCGGACAACACGAACGTAATGTCGCGTATCTTCCCGGACGGCAACAGAAAGAAGTATTGAGGGGACAGTACGTCGTGACCCAAATTGAAGATCTTGACGAAGTCGGCCGTCACGACAGCCAACTCTGTTTGACTGCCCGGAAGCCAAACCGATTTAATCACATAATTGCCGGACTCGAGCTGTAGGTGCAGCACAAGGTGTCCGCTAACGACGCCCAACTGGGAGAACGTCAACACATGACAGTCTTTGAGCCCACAGACGGACAAATAGTCTTCATTGCAGGGATTGCCGACGATTGAGATGGCGGTGAACGGAAGGGGCGCGGAGGCCAGTCGTGTGAGCGTCAACTTCTTCTTGGAGGAGTCGGCCTGTTTGAGAAGTGTCGCCAATTGAAGTAATGTTATTTTGCCCTTTTCGTGGCTCACAGCCAAGTGCTGGCGTTTGCCGTGATGTGAGGCCAACGCACACATCGCCACTCGACGTATCACTTGCTGTTGAATGAGTTGACGAATCTGTTGGCCCTGTTCTCCGGTGAACGTCATCCGCACGTTCTCGAAGGCGCCCTCCTGTGAGCCCAGTGTCGGCACCATTAGCTGATCGCTCGATTCGATCGACTTATCACAGAAATGGAGTTCTTTGAGCGCCTCTCTGGCTCTTATAGAACTACCGATTGATGAGTTTCGTAGGCATGACTTAATCATCGTTGGACTCAAATATTTCAACAGATTTAACACAATCCACGAGAGGTTCATATTTGACAGAACCGACAAAATCTCGGTTTTGCTGTTTTCCAACTGTTTTACTAGCGATTCGTGTTTTTGACGAGAAGTTGACTCCTTTTTGTCGGAACTTTGGTTCGCATCTGATTTCAGAGGAAAATAAATATAAATTTACAAAATGTTCACAAAAAGTGTTAATTTATTAACAAAAATATAATTACTTTTTTCCAACGATGGAGACGAGGGACGTCTCAAAGAAGAGGGCAAAACTGATTCCGATGGATATCCCGCATCTCTTGAGGTGTAATTGTTTGGTTCATTGTTGGACGTCCTTCGGGTGAGCGCGAGACAAGAGTTGTCTTCTTTAGCGCCGCAGTCGCAGAAGAAGGAGCCGTGTTTGGCATACGTCACGTCGTGGTCTTTATGGCACACTTTCGCACAGATAGTGCACACACCGACGCCGTCCACCATTTTGCAGGTGTGGCAGTGATACCAGTGCTGATTCATGAACTCTTTCTGCGTTGTGGTAAAAGTGCATAATTTATTGCAAAGCGACTCCTCATCGGAGTCCTCGGCCAATGACTCGTCGTCGTCAGGACAGGGAATCTCGTCGATCCAGTCGTCGTCAATGGCGCCCACATTGTCCCCGTCGGGAGTGGAGGCACGTCCCGATGCCGTCTCGCTCAGCATCTCCAGCGCATCGTAAATGTCGGCCAAATATGACAACATATAACACGTCGACTCCATTATCATTTGGTGTCTATAATATTTGCGTATAAATTCACACAAATTAACATCCATTTCATAAATAGTCAACAGCTGCCCATACCTTCCAATAATGATATTGTTTTGCAACTTTTCCATCACATCTTTTTGAGACAAATATCGTTTACAAGTGTCCAACCAATTAATGACTGCTTTGATGAGCTCTAAATGTCCGGTTCCGGCACCAGCGCCGGCCAGTGTTGTCATGATTTGCATCAACTCGGAAAATCCCAACACTTCGGGAGTGGACGACAGTATTTGACTGCCCATTGGGATGAGCGCCGACAGGAAAGCGGAGGCCACCTCTTCATCCACAGCACTCGTGTCCTTCACTATATATGACGTGAGACTTTGCAAAAGAATACGATTCTCCTGATTGGCCACCAGAATGGTTGGGTCGCCGTCGGGTCTCTCGCACAACACTTTCGAGAGCCACGTCTGGAGGATAGTGTTGTCGGGTTGGCTCAGACGCGACAACTTTGACAGAGAAGTGCACAAACGAACCAAACTAATAGTATCCGGATTTTTCTCAGTGTTTTGGAACAGTTTGCTGAAGAACTTGAGAACACGCGTAGAATAGGCAGAGCTGAGACTCTCATTGGAGGCCGACATCAGCAGCTGAACGATATCTTTGGCCTCGTCTTCGCAGAAGAACTTCTCGAGCGCCGTCTGTCCGGCACTGGAATCTAGCAGTGATTCCATGAATTTAATGCATTCAATCAGAATCTTCTCTTCGACACAACACTCTTTGTTTGAGAAATTTATTAACAAATCGTACGAATGGGTCAACGCTTCCACGTATAGCGCGGACACAAAGTTGTCGCTCTCTTTGGAGCCGAAGACTGTGTCCAATTGGTTCATACCATACGAGGCGTATGACTCGCAAGTGCTGTCCAATTGAAGCGAAAGCATAACTCGAATGAAGTCTTCGGAGTATTTATTTTCACTCCATCTGTAAATCATATGAAATATACGTTTAATAGAAAAGCACAAAAACAATGAAACAAAATATTTACTGATATAAGTCTTCCGCGAATTTGAGTAAAGTGTTTATAAAATGTTTTAAATTATTGTTTGAATTGAAAGGTGTGGCCATCGATGAGGACAACGAATTGAAATGTTGCGATTGAATGGCCATTATGTAGGACTCGGATGGTATGGGTGACGAGTTGTGTTCATTACGCCAGTGCTGGACATCAACGGGAATGACATTCCATTTGACCAAAATCTTCATCAGATTTCGCGGCAAATAAGTGGCCAATTGAAGGGTCAGTTGGATTAGCTTTGCGTTACATTTACTGGAAGTCATCTTCAGTATCGAATTATAAGCGTTCAATAGTTTGGGAATAGTTTTGATGCCCTGAAGGGCGTCCTCGTGAGTCATCTGATGGATAATCGAAGAGCGAGCGCACGACAAGTGATTGGATATCAGATTGAGTACAGACGGCAACAGTTCCACAGACGCCTGTTTCGACTCAATGCTTGTGCCGAAGACCATCGGAGTGGCGCTGATCGACGGCGAAGACTCGTTCAGATTATAGCACGAGTCGAGCGCTACGTTCGTTTTGGCGCACAAGACGTCTAATGTGAACATATCTAAGAGTAGAGGCATTTCATCCAATGTCACGATTTCGTTGGAACTGGTGTTTGATTTCGATAACGAGAACTGTTTTAACATTAATTGCTTCAGTAATTCCACGTTAAATGACATCGAGTTCGCCGTTTTGGTCACACTCTTCAGCAGCGCTTCCGGTTTGACATTCGGGTCGGTCTGCAGGAGTTTTGTGAGCGAGTCTTTGATCCAAATATAAAACCACTTATTGTTAACAATACGTGAAATCCAAATACAATAGTGAAGTGTTTTCGAGTTATCAAACTGTCGGACATCGCCAACAGATAACAGATGAAGACTTTGGACAGACGGCGGCAGTTGCAGAAGAATACGCCAAACAGAGTTGAATGCATACTGAATGGCACAAAGACCTAAATTACTGAGTTTTGCTTCATTTAAATGACGGTAATTGAAGTCATATTGAGAGCCGAGGTTTAGTAATGTTATCAATGAATCATAGAGTGTATCGTAAGGCAGGATCTCCTGCAGACCAACCAAAAGGAAATTCAATGCCATTCCTATCAATAAAATTCAATTATAAGTAACAATCAATTAATTGCAGAATTAATGGGTAAATACCGTCAAGTTTTGGCACATCTTTCGCGTTATAGACCTCAACGTTCAACAGATGGTAAAATCGCGGTCTCATAGAAGTGGCAAAGATTTTATTTTCGGTAAACTTGTGGTAATTATCATCGATGTCACGGCAATGGAAATACAGTTTATTGTCGTCAATGTTGTTGTCTTTGTCTCGTTTCAGTGACAGAGACGCCGAAGACTTGAATAGATTTGTGTCGATCTGTTCGACGAGAGAAGAGGGCGCGTCGTATAAGTTCTTAATCATGTACTCGAAGAAGTGTGTCAATCGACCCAAACAATGGATCTGATGGTCTGTCATCATCTGCAGCACAGTGTCCGACACGTCGACTATAGTCTGTGAGACCAGAAGTAATACTTGTTTGCGTTGAAGTAGTTTGAGATTATGAAACAGAAACAACAGGAGCTGCGAGTGCTCTACATTCAGGTCTTCCATCTCATAATCCTTCACCTCATCAGTTATTATCAATTGTCTCAATCGGTTCAGTAATCCGCGCCATATCTGTATTGATGGCGAATTTGTGTCAAACCTCAGATCCTCTTTCTCCTGATATTGCAAACAAAAGTCAATCAAAACTCTATTCAATTACTAAACAATTGCTTACTTTTTGTTGTTTTAAAAGAATAATTTGTGACAAAACCGATAGTGTTTTGGGGGCGACATATAGGGGCCAAACGCCTTCCGGAGAGGGGTCTGGATTGACACCCAATGAAGACAACATAGAATTCTGTAGAGAATCGCTGAGAACTTCAGTGGCAATCAAATTATGCATAAATGAAGTCAAAGCCGGAGAGAACTCCGAATAGAAGGAGAAGTTGTGAACACTCTCGCGGTCCAAGTCTTTGATAATATGCGCCAAAATGCAAATCTGCGAGTCGTTAATGGTTTGCTTGAAATAGTGCCGCAGAGACTCGATTTCAGAGCAAACGAAGTATGTGTTCAACAACTCAAATATCGATGTCGAGAGTGTCAGGTGTCGGTGCGGTTCGCGCTTATCGTTACAGTAATTCATATCAAGAGTTTGTCTACTTTTCATCGACTTATCCGACGCCTGACTCTCATCGTGTTCTTTGAAGAGATGTCCTAATATAGGCTCCGAGTCCTCATCACGACTCGAGTCGTCCGAACTAAAGCACGACTCGTCGTCTAAATCGTGTGACGCGGAAACGGAGGGACTGTTTGTTTTGTCGTTTTGCTCCAAACTCGCCGTTCGGGACACAGTCTTCAGGAGACCGGCCTTTCGATAGCTGGCGGACGAGAGGGTGAACAAGAGGTTTGTGATATTGATGTTCGACATAAGCATCTCAATCCTCTGCCACGCGCTATAGTAACCGAATTTGTTGTACTTGAATGAAGTGGACGAGTGATGGCTCGTCAGCTTCTCCGCGTTCGACAGTCTGTTATAAGATCCCAGACTTATCTCGGATTTCAAGTCATCAAACAGTGAGCCGAGGAGTTGTATGGCGTGTCCGGCCAGTGATATACACAACGTATTATAGCCCTGCTTTTTGATGGGCTGATCCTTAGCACCGGGAATACTAAGCGCTGCAGTGGTCGTGGGATTGGACTTCATTATGAACTTGAGTCCGGAGAGCAGTAGCCACGAGGCAAACATGTGGACGTTCTGACAGATCTGTCCGCCCACTCGTATCGAGCTCTTCATGACTAACATAATTCTCTTATAAATCTCGAGACTCGTGTCCACAATCTCTGAGATGACATTCTCGTTGTCGTCGTCTTTGAGGGGCGCAGCCGTCGCCCCTTTGATGGCGGGCGAGGAGGCGCCGGACGCCAGTGTGTTGGAGGCGGTGAGCGTTAGCGACACGTAGAGACACGCGTGGATTATTGTAATCACTTTCGAGAGACGCTCTTCGGTTAACGGCTCCAGTATTGGCAGCGATAGTATGCGCCAAATGATGTCGTAGTCCTTGATTATCATTTTGCAAGTGTGCAGTATATGGGTGTCCGGTCCAGAGGTGGGCAGCTTTAAGGGCGCGCCTTCTTCTGTCGCGTGAACTAACTGTATGAACGGCTTGATTGTCGATAAAGACATTATGAAGTCCAACAACACGTTTGTTCCGCACAGTTGTTGCAAATTGAAGAGATTTTTGCCAATCAATAGACCCTGAAATCAATCATTTCGTCAATTATATCGTCAAATCATTGGACAATAAAAACTCATACTTTCGTGTCCTGTGATAGGGATGAGAAGCCAACCGGAGATATGATGTTCTTATCGTTTTCAATATGACTGTCCCTTTTGGACGTCGACTCCATTATGGGTGTCATTAACTGCTCGATAATGGCTTCGCACGAGTGGTCCAGACGTATGCGTTTGGGCTCTTTAGGCGTACTCTCATCGCGAATGACTGCCGCGAAGGACTTGGCGTCACCACCGGTCGCATCGGTGGACCTATACGTCAAGCTGTCGGGCAGTGGCGTCGACTTCAGCAGCGAACTCAGCGCCAAGATATCCGACTTCAGGAGTGGCGGTATATCATCGCAAAGGCCCTGAATTATGCCTATGAGCTGATGCTGTGGTCACAATACAAACACACCGTTAGTATCGCATAAAAGACAATATCCTTAAGACATGACAATCAATGGGACGTACTTTCGATAGAATAGACTTGTCGTCAAACTCGGAGATCTCGTGAAGAATGTGCTGCAGAACGACAGTACAGGCGGACGAGGCCACAGACAACACACTCTTCGGGACTAAATATGAGACAAAGAGTTAGTTGTCATCACATGTGGTGACAAAGAGTGATGGGAACTGACTTTGCGACGCATTGGAGATAATGCAGTGACCGGAGAGGGCCACGAATGGCGCGAAGAATGTCTTCTCGCGTTCAGCGAATTGAAGGATCGTTTTCTCACTAAACCAATGGCAGACACGCGACAAGAAGTGGTCATTATTACGGTCATTGAGATAATGAGTGGCGAGTGAGTGGTGATCGCTCGCGATGATAATAGCTTACCATTTGTTAATGCATTTGATGATAGCTATGACTTCATGTTTGACCAAATTGTTGGGCTGTGATATCAGTAGTGGTAGCGTCTGTTGCAGCAAATCGTACTCCTCTTTGGACGTCATGTCTTATAGTCATCACACGTCACACCAATTGGTGGCCACAAACACACCGCAAGACAATCGTGACGTTCAGGTGATTGAGTCACAGATGACCACAAAAATAGCAATTCATTCAATCATTCAATGACTCAATCAGTCAATGGGTTTGTTGTGAACATGACTTACGTTTTGTTTTTTATTTGTTTCGGCATTTCATTTATTCATTTATATTTTGGGCCTTTTTGTAGTAATATTGTCTTATAGGCTAGCATGGGATCTGAATGTATGAAAAGGGATGTATCTAAAGCTTATTTTAATTAAATCACATATGACATTTCTATTGACCTGTATCGGTGATTAATGCAATGTTATTAATTAGATAATTATCAAGTTCATTTTAATTATATAAAAGTTAAAATTGATTTTATGAAAACTTTACCATGATAAAAACAATCGTTTGTTATATTTATAATGTTTAAATATGAGTGCCCAATACGTTATTTATGTATACATAAATTTAATAAACTTTTAAAAATTATAATTAAATCACAATTAACTTAAATATCACTTGAAAAACGCCATAAACTCATGAGTCGTATTGAAAACAATAGCAATAAAAGCCTACAATTGAGTGACAATTGATTTATGAATGAAAACCACGCGTGAAGTGTAGCGTTATTTGCAGCACTGTTTGAACGCTTGCGTCAACCAATCAAATGCCAGATATTTCTCATTCAAACCGTAAGTCAAATGCAAAACAAAAAGCTTTTTAAATGCAATTAAAAGCCAAACATTTGTCGTGTTTTTGATTGCATTTGCATTTGAAGTGATATTTCGTGAACCAATTGACGTCCGGAACCATTTCAGTGATAATTGAGTGACCGTTGAGTGGCGTACGAGATGTCACACGCGCTGAAGACCAATAACAATGAGTTGCGGATCCGTTTGCACAGTGAGAATGAGTTGATCCCAAGAGGTAATCAGTTCCGCAAACAGATGAGTGATAGTAGAGTCGGTGGCACTCCGTCGCCGCCCAAGTCGAGGGTCTTGTTGTCGAGGAATCACTTCAACAAACCGTTGGCCAACCCGTTGTTTCCCGACGTGAAACCCATGCCATCGATGTCTGTGACGAAGAGCTGTTACACCGGTTTCTCGCAGACGGATGGCCACCGACTGCCCACCTCTGGACGCACTATCGACTGCAGCGGTCGACTCAAACGACTCGAAGAGTCAGGTCTGCTTCAGAAGTTTCAAAACTTTAAGACCAAAAGCATTCCTCTGGCGCTCGAGGAGGAGGACGACGACGACATCCAAGTGATTGATGTGAAACAGGTCTCACATCTCACTGTCCGCTCACTTGTTATGCAATTCACTAATTGTTATCCATTTGTATGCAGAAGAGTGACAATGTCTTCACGGATGGCCACAAAGACAATCAGACAATTGAGTTGAAGTCGAGCGAAGAGTTTGAGCCGCACTTTGTATCGCAGATCAGGGATGAGGTGAGAAAAGTGAGTTCGCAATCGTTTGGTACGCAAAGCTGTTCCCAAAGAAGCAAATTGAGCGCAGATTTGTGTAAAGACAAGAGTCAGCGAAAGTCTGGCACTGATCTGAAGTCACAGAACAGTTCCAACAAGTGGTCCAAAGGGCCCATGAATTTGTCCAACAAATCCAATACAAATCTTCGCGCGAATTCACGTAATAGTAAATCAAATGAAGACATAAAAGGAGATAATTGTAAGAATAGAGAGAACCGAAAGAGTTCTCTAATTAGAGGCAAATCTGAGGAGAGTTTGGAGAATAAGTCAAAGGAAAGGCGTTCGCAGTCATCGAATGGTCGGCTCAGTAATAGTGGTTATGATAAGCCAAAGGATAGTAACTATAAAGTGAATGTCAGTAACAATAATAAGAGTCTTTTAAACCGATGCCAATCGCAGCCAAATGTGGATCGAAAGCAATCCAATAGTACTCAGAATAACAGTAATAAAAATGTGAATAAAAATGAACAGAAAAACAGTAACAATGAAAACAATGACAACTCAAACATCACACTGAAGTCTATCCGAAAAATAAAAGTCAACGACAAGTACTACCAGATACTGAACTGTATAGGACAGGGAGGCAGTAGTAGAGTGTATCAGGTGTACGAGCCCGAAGAGCAGATGACACTCGCCATCAAAGTGGTGGACCTGAGCAGAGCTGACGAGCAGACGGTCTGCGGCTATAAGAATGAGATAACATTATTGCAAAAGTTAAAGGACTGCAAACGAGTGGTGCGAATGTATGCACACGAGTACCAGAATAATGGCCAACAGTTGCTGGTGGTCATGGAGAAGGGAGACTCGGACCTCAATCATGTGCTCAAGTCGTTCATCGAGTCCGAGGAGAAGCGCTCACTCGACGCCCATTTGATTCGCTTTTATTGGCAGCAAATGCTCAAAGCTGTCGATGAGATCCACGCCAAAGGTGTGGTCCACTCGGACCTAAAGCCAGTGAACTTCATATTAGTTGCGGGGAAACTGAAGTTAATTGACTTCGGCATCGCGAACGCCATTCAAGCCAACTATACGTCTGTTTATAAGGAGTCGCAGATCGGAACCATTAACTATATGGCGCCGGAAGCCCTTGAGAATCGGTCGGACGTGAGGGGAAAGACTGTTATTAAATACAACTGTAAGGCCGATGTGTGGAGTTTGGGCTGTATTTTGTATAATTTGGTTTACGGTCGGACGCCTTTCCATCACTTGAATAACCTGTTCCAAAAGGCCAGCGCTATACTCGACCCCAACCATCAGATTGAATTCCCGCCCATTGACGACCACTTACTGCTCGACTGCATGAGGAAGTGTCTGCGACGAGACCCCCATAGGAGACCCACCACTAAGGAGTTGTTGAATCATAACTATCTGATTGAGTCAAAGACTACCGAACCTCAGAATGTGGCCCAGAATGCACTCATCTCTCAGATTAATAATTTGACGCCAAATAGGATCAAACAGTTATCGCAAGTGAGTCGCCGTTCAATCCAATTATGTTTTCTACTGTTGTCTGCAAATCTGAATAATTTGATTATTTTATTTGTCTCTTTAGGTTCTCGAGAAACTCAGCAAACATTGAGTTTTGATTATTTTCTCTATTTTAGGAAACATTGGTTTTTAAAAATAGTTTTATTAATTTTAATAATAATAAGAGATAATTATAAGCACTTACCGTTATCTCGGACTTTCAGTTGCCCGCAACTATATCTAAGTTTCTGATAAGGGGGGCAATAGTACATAGGTATACTTGCTCCATATTTTGAGCTCATTTTTCAATTTTTGTAAAATGAGTTATTATTGCCCTATTGAGTGAAATAACTAAACTTTTCATACAAACTGTAAAAAAGTTTTTGAATTGAGTTACATTTAAAAACGTTAACAAAATATCCATATTAGGGTCCAAAGTTAGATCAATTTCTGAAACCCGGCCCGACCCAAACCCTTAGTGTTCTTTAATCTGAAAGCCCGACCGACTTTCAAAGTTTACAAAAATCATAATTAGATCTAATAAACAACAATTTATCGACATTTTGGGGTCGAGTTATGAGAAAATTATAAGGGTTTTCTAAGGGTTTTGATTTCTACAACGGGAAACCCTTACCCGCTCTAATATTCAAACCCGTTCCCGTCCGAAACCTTTAAGGGTTGGGTCGGACAAGGGTTTCCTCCTTCCTATTATAATCCATATTCTGTCGGTCAGTGTGCTGTGAATTGAGACTANTCTCTACGACTTATACTTTTTGCTGTACAGATAACCTACCTGTGCCGACCTACCGGTGCTCTAAACTAGTACTCTCTTCGGGAGAATATGTAAGACCAAAAACCATAGTTAAGGTTTAAATATAAATTTGATAACTTAAATAGTTTAGCAATAACCCGCATTTTAGTAGTCAAATCTGATGGACAAAACTTTTTTCGAAATCTGGTATTTAACATAAATGTACGGAATTTACGTGTTTTTTAAATACAAGTCTATTCTCATGTATTAATAATGCAAACATATGAACAATTCATACATATTTAAGACAAATAAATAGCGTTTTGTATAATTTTTATTTTTAAATTTAGTTTATTCAATATAAAAGCACTAAATAATTAATTTAAAAATAAATGTAATAATATATTTATTAAATTGAACTGACATTTTGGTCATATCAGTATTTGACAGGTATAGGACAGGGAGGGGGTAATGGAATAAGTAAATGGTTTCACGTATTCTGTACAGAACTGGGATGTCATTAGATTCTGTACAGAATTTGATACTCTATTATGTAATGTACGGTAATGTACGGTAAGAATTATGTTGACTTTTAATGATTTCTATTTATTTAATTTATTTATATAATTGAGACGATAATCTATAATATTAATGATGATATCGTTTTGTAATGTATTTATTTAGTTGAATGCATCGCTTGTTGTGATCCCATCTGAACGTCAGATATTCATAATTTACTTCTCATACCATATCCCAGAACTCCATTATTTAGATTACATTCACAAACCAGTAATAATCCATTTGTTAAGCCATTTATTGATTGCATTCTCGTATTCATTACAAGTAGATGAGAGCCAAACGAAATGAATATTTTTCTCTTTTTATTTGCTGTGAAATGTTAATTATTTTGAATACAGTATTAAATACACTTTGGAGACGAAAGTATTTTTCAAACTCAAAGTTTAGACATGTTTTCGCAGTTCAAGTGAACGGAATTTGTATTTACTTTTCGTGTGATTTATTAGTGTATGAAAGGAAAAAAATGTGTGAATTATGTGAGCATTGGTTGAGGAGTTTGTCTTTAAATATAACATCAAAAGATGTGATGCACTCGCTATTAGATATGACTTGAATTCCCAACTAAACTACATATTCCGTACAGAATCTGTACAATGAATGCCTTCCGGCCCTCAACTCTCTCTCTCTCTCTCTCTCTCTCT